TTTTGTTAATGTCACTTATCCATCAAACATCATTTTCCCCAGGATTTTGACATACTAGGTGGTGGTGCAGTGGTTAGCTCTGTGGCCTCACAGCAAGAGGGTTCCAGGTTTAAGCCTGGGGTGGGGGAGCTCCCCTGTGCTCCCTTGTTCCCCCTCCCCTAGAATCCTGGAAGCTTGAGGGTTCTGCGCAGTATCATAAGCCCCTTTTACACTGCCAGATTTTCGGCGAATGTTGGGCCGTTTTGCCGGCAAGCTGCGAGTGTTTAGACACACAGAGCCGGAGTGGCGAGTTGATCCGAGGTGCCCAATTTTCCGCCTCGTAGGGTAGACATATTGGTGGAACCTTTTTGGTTTAAACAGACCAAGGCGGCCTTCTGCAATGGGAGGGGCTGTTGATGACGCCGCACGCGCGACCCACTGGAGGTGGATAAACAGGAAACAGTTGATAGCAGGAATTAGCGAGTAGCTAGTAGCAAGAGGGAAACACAAACCTGACAGACACTGTAAAGATGAGCAACTGAGGAGACAAGGAATTGCGCGCCCTCCTTGCCCTCGCAAACAAAGAGGCCATTAACCGTCAGATGACGGAGACCGTGAAGAACGGGCTAACTTATGAGAGAATCACCGAAGTACTGACCAGCCGCGGCTTCCCTCCCACGTCACTGTTTACGTCACACGCTGAGCTACAGGTTTTGTTACTTGCTCACGCCCCCCATTGCCCCAAAAAAGGAACATTCAATATAAACAAAAATAGGAAGGAGGCATTTTGCTGCACTCCCTGATTTTGTTTTTATACTGCCAATGCTGAAAAAGACTGATTGGGCTTTCCTGCAAATTTGCACAAATCCTATTTAAAAAAAGGCTTTAGCTGTTCCCAGGACTGCACTCTCCTAGACAGAGACCTCAGATGTTGTACCTGGAATCTGCTGGAGTCACTCTCCCAGGTTGGGGCCACAGCCCCCAGTGCTCCCATTACCACTGGCACCACTGTTGCCTTTAAACCCTGCATCTTTTCTAGCTCCTCTTTCAGCCCTTGGTATTTCTCGAGCTTCTCGTGTTCCTTCCTCCTGTCGCTCACGATTACTGCATCCATCACCTCTGCCTTCTTCTGTTGTTTGTCCATCAGCACCATGTCTGGTTGGTCAGTCATCACCAGTTTGTCAGTCTGGATCTGGAAGTCCCACAGGATCTTAGCTTGGTCATTCTCAACCACCTTAGGCAGTGTCTTCCATTGTGACCTTGGGACTTCCAACCCATACTCAGTGCAGATGTTCCTGTACACTATGCCAGTCACTTGGTCCTGGCATCCCATGTACGCTCTTCCTGCATCTTACACCCTGCTGTTATGTGCTGAACTGTCTCAGGAGCATCTTTGCACAGCCTGCATCTGGGGTCCTGTCTGCTGTGGTAGACCCCTGCTTCTATTGATCTATCTATCTATACATGCACGCACACACACACGCACACATGCACACTCACGCATGCACACACAGCCAAATGCAAGATCCCCCCTCCATACGTCAGGTGAAGATAATAAAAAGAAAACTGCCCAGCTTTTTCAACCCTACAGATGATGATCTGTCCACACTTCACAGAAGCCGCAGGTATGGTTGACCTTTGTAGGCGTGATGCCTGATGTGTTGGTGTGTGAGCTGTTATCAGTGTATATCAGATTAGACTGATAGCTCTGGGCGATGCTGAGTGCTGCTGTTTGTCTAGCAGGAGTGGTGCTGGACGGAGCAGAAATCTGAACTGAGGAAAAATACAGGAAAAGTACAGACAGAGGAACCACAGCACCAGCCGAGGCCAGTACAGTCCCAGGATTACTGGTCATACTGGGTCATGTTGCTCATTAGTATTCAGTTCTAGTGCAAATTGTGTTATAGTTCAGTGGAAACTGAAGGCTGGTGGATGGATGTACATCTCAGCTGTGGCAAAGGTTTTTTTCAGTGTCATACCAACAGTCAGCATGGCTTTCTTTAATATTTAACCTTGGTAACGTTTCCACCCAAAATGAATCAAGTGTGACCATCGCTGTCGTCTATAGCTTGATTTTGTCGTAACCAGATGAAAAAGAAACATTTGTCTGGATTGCTAAAAGAAAGTTGTTACTGAGCCTTGAATTGTCCAACAGTGTTTTATTTTGTGGTTTCTATCTGACAACATCAGATTGATGAAATCTGCTTCAGTCAATTCAGTCACATTTTACTTTAACCTCAGTGTGCACGTTACAAAGTTGGGGAGAATAACCAAAAAGAAAAATATGGTAATGTCTCTCCAAACAGAGATTTATATTATGGAGACAGTGTTGGGACAGAATGGGTAGTGCTGGTGTAGCTACAGTAATGAGCTCTGCCTGTGCTGCACAGCAAAAAAAGGTGATTCCATAAAGTTGTGTTTTATTTCAAGATCATTATACATGTAGCCCCGTTTCCACCAAACCCTTTCAGTCCAGTACCTTTGGAACCAGCAGTAACCCTTCAGACATGGTACCTAGACCCTAGGAATGTTCAGACAGTCCTCTTAAATGTGGGCAGGGTTGTTGTCACTCACTGCTCCGTCCAGCACTCGCTGTATTTCCTCATCAGCGGTGACACAGATGGAAGTCTGCACCTGGTTTATCGTACACAGAACGAGGCTGCACGCCCACATTTTCACAACAAAATAGAACAGGCTGCAGTGAGAGTCTCTCTCTATGGGATATTTAAAAATAGCAGCTTTGTGCATTTAGTCCTTCTCAGACAAGCTCAGGGGTTTAGTACTGCTGTAGCCCACAGGAACAGCACTCAGCAATGCGTTTTTTTTCTCCACGAGAGGATTAGTGTATATGTCATTCACATAATCTGGCTGAAATTAATATATAAACATTTGAAGATCCACTCATTACTAAAAGTGTCTGTCATATAAAAACTAAAGTGATGGTCAAAGACACAACTCAGCCCTGAGCAGAGTGACCGTCCTCTACTGACCAATCAGACTGCAGGGTTCACAGCTCCACCTTTTAGTACCAGATCTGTGTGCTAGGTACCCCAACAGAGGGGGGACCAAACATGGGGACGCTAAGGAACGCTTCTGTTGGGACCATCCACAACTTTTCACAGTGGAAATGGGGGAAAAAAGCGCACCGAACTGAACTGTATCGTACTGCTCAGTGGAAACGGTGCTTAGCTCACAAGGCAGAAGTGCTAGTTTTATTGTGTCTTATCTTTGCTGTGTTTTATCCTGCATGTTTTATTTACATGCTTTTATTTTACAATCGTATGGTCACTGTGATTTTAGAAGGTTTTACATCCTGTCCACATGCCAAAACAATTATATAAGAGGAGTTTTAAGTGACTGTAACAATTTTTGTAAGAAAAAAGAAAAAAGTTTTTTAACTTAACCTGCACTCCTTGGTTATTTCAGTGTTGCTCCCCATCCGTTTTTAAAATCTACTTGGTATATTCTACCCCCTCTTATAATTACATTTTATTTGTTCTTATCAAAGATAAATCATCTTGTCAAGAATGTTATGCAGCATCAGGGTAATAAACTTGTCTCAGGGGAACTGGTCCAGATTTGTTTTTGTAAAAGATATAACTCATTTTTGAGATGAAGTCAAGAGCCTGGCATGCTTGTCAAATTTATAAACTCAGTCCTTGATTATATTGAAATGATCATTATGTCGTTCCTCAGTGTGTGACAGCTTGGTCTTTACACTCAGGTATTGTGGCTGCAGTTTGTTTTTTTTTTATTTGTGTCTGAGCTGCACCAGCCTGTTTTATCCTCATGTGAGGTCGATTTAAAGCTGAGTTCAGTGTCGATGTCCAGAGGAGTGGTGGCTGTACTCTGCCCTCTGTGTGTGAAGCAGTGGTGCTTTGTTTTAGTTCACACACACATCTCAGTTGAGCATATTTAATTTATTATTTATTATTCATTTTATTACAGAAGCATATTGCATTCACTTGACAAATAAAAAAAACCTGTTTTTCTGAGTAATTTTTTCTGTTTTTTCTGGAGTAATTTATTTTTTTTCTGTTTTTCGTGGTAATATTTTTCCTGAACGAAGAGACGATATACTTCAAAATTTCAACTACGGGGTCAATAAGGGTAAGGCACATAATTAGTTACACACATAGTATCATAATCTAGCTATGTTTTTGACTGCATCCTTCTAGTGTAGGCCAATCGCTCAATGTAACAGGTTAGGTTAGTAACAGGTCGTAAAATCATGCCCATACACGTTTGTCAACCTAACCTGTTACAGTATATCGTCTCCTCGTTCAGGAAAAAAATTACTCAGAAAAACAGAAAATATTACCACGAAAAACAGAAGAAAATACCACGAAAAACAGAAAAAAATACTCAGAAAAACAGAAAATATTACCACGAAAAACAAAAGAATTACTGAGAAAAACAGAAAATATTACCATGAAAAACAGAAAAAAATTACTGAGAAAAACAGAAAATATTACCACGAAAAACAGAAAAAAATACACAAAAAAACAGAAAATATTACCACGAAAAACAGAAAAAAATGACTCAGAAAAACAGAAATTATTACCACGAAAAACAGAAAAAAAATACTGAGAAAAACAGAAAATATTACCACTAAAAACAGAAAAAAATTACTGAGAAAAACAGAAAATGTTACCATGCAAAAAACAGAAAAAGTTACTGAGAAAAACAGAAAATATTACCACGAAAAACAGAAAAAAAAATACTCAGAAAAACAGAAAATATTACCACGAAAAACAGAAAAAATTACTCAGAAAAACAGAAAAAAAATTACTCAGAAAAACAGAAAAAATACTCCGAAAAACGGGGCTTTTTTATTTGTCAAGTGAATGCAATACGCGTCCGTATTTTATAGCTGTTAGATTTTCCTCTAAACTGTATTGCAGTACAGAGCTATGTAATGTGAGCATCGCTGCACTGTAATGCGCTCTGCTGCCTGCCTGGTGTCCTGTTGTTCTGTCCTCCGCCCGCTGGGGGCGCTGACACTCAATAAAGCCGCCTTTATGAGCACAGAGTGACCCAGGACTTTGTTCCGGGAAACAGCGTGTGTGCAGCGTTACAAACCTCCGGGACCGCTTTACTGCCAAAATATTAATATTTAGTAACGTCTGCTGTCGGCCTCGCGATGGTGAAACTATCTGCGGAGCTAATTGAGCAGGCAGCTCAGTATACGAACCCTGTGAGAGACAGAGAGCTGGATTTAAGAGGTGAGTTCAACTTTTCTCACCGCTGCACACTTGGACATGTAAAGTTAGCTAGCTCAGTCTTTACGCGGGCCTCACGCTGAACTCCATTCAAACACATGGTGTTAATACTTTCTGATATCAACAGCAAAATGCGTATGAAGGCCCGGGTAATAAGTGTATATTAGCCTTGTAGCTGCACCTCATAACGTTAGGTAGCGTCTGAAAGCTACACAGCTGCACAGTGAGTACAGCCACTGTTTAGTGTCCACAGCAGCTTAAGAGTCAAAATAAAAGCGATACAGAAACAGTGAAGATGTTGTCCACGACTGAGAGCTGCTGTGAAACACTAAGAGTGAGTGAATTTAGTGGAAACGCTGGTAGTTTTGTGTCCGGTTGTCAAAGTACGGGAGAACCGATGCTAGCTGATGTTAGCGTAGCTTGCTAACATGTCTACCAGTGATGTGCCTGCCCGCCGAGAGTTGCGTGCACCTCACGGGAGCGCGCACAGACATTGTACTGATTTACAAGTAGTGTTTTAAAAGTCATAAAATCTTCTTTTGTTTTGTTATTAATGATAAGTTATCTGAAGTCTGCAGCTTATGAACGCTTAAAGCTGTGGTTTTCAAACTTCTTGTGCCCAAGGCGTCACCAAAGGGGCAAAATAAAATCTTAAGGCACACCTGTATTTATTTCTGTGCACAGCAGCCTCTATATGATGTGTTATCACTCGTCTTATCACGATGGAAATGGTTGTTTTTATTCACTTATATCCAATAACAATTTACAACCAACTAGTACTCATTAAATAGTTGACAAAATGATTCAAGAATTCATTTTAAACTGTTTGAAACTACATTAAAGCACCAATAACACACCCATTTAAATGGGAAATAATAAGATAATGTGATGTGCCTCACACTCATAATTGCCACGCATGAACTGTGACAAATTGGTTGCCTGTAAAGGTCTTTTAAATTAAATAACAGTTCTTTATCTAGAGTTTGCCTCTTTATTAGTAAATGGGTGCCCACAACATACTGATACATTCAGTTAAAAATCCATCCATAACTTTTTGTACAGGCTCAGATGAATATTGCAGTAAAAATGTGTGGTTATCACAAAATCCCACAGCACACCTGGATTTGTATCAAGGCACACCATTTGAGAAATACTGGTTTAGAGTCATAATTTGTATTATACTCTAGTAGAAGCAGCGTTTGCTTGACACAGTTGATCTGAAATCTACAGGTTTTATTGATTAATCTCTCAATATTTCGGAGGGCGATCTCTGATCTCTGTGGTATATAATTCATATTTGTGTTTTGAGGCATTTCTGACAATTACTTTAAAATGTTGTTCTGAAAGGAGTTTTTTAAGTAAAATGAATGCCAGCAGTGGCGTAAGGTAGTTGTGATAAGGATTGCAGCGATATACCAGTTTCAGTGTATACTGTGATATAAAATTGACAGTCGTCATACCGTGTACATTTGCTCATTGATGGAACTGGGGGGAAAATGAACTGGACATTGAATCTTCCTTTTTATTTTAGTAATTTTCTAAGGTGAGACTCTTTACAGAAACTTCCATCAACAAAAGCTCTAGTTATGATGGGCCCCAGTGCATGTTATAATGACACTGGACAACATCAACATACATATTTCCCAGCAGTCATTATTGTATATATGTGTATGACAAAAAAATGAGTTCAAATGAGGGAAGTGTGTATTGTTGTTGTTTTTTAAACACCTTATATGAATGATAATGATAATAATAATGAGACATATCAAAGACACTTTACAGAGAACAACAACAACGAAACAAAGAAAAAAAAACAATACAAAGGTGAAATAATCCATGAGAAGGGAAACAGGGAAGAGGGAGAAGAGCAGGTTTTTAGAGGCTTCAGACTATGAGTATTCGAAGAGAAATTGGAAGAAAAGAACCTCAGGCGTGCTGTGCCACTTTCCCATTGTTATCAACCATAAACACTTGAACCATTCTGACATTTTTTTAATGAAAATAATTTTAAACTGAAACACACAGGTTATGGTTTTGTCGAAAAACATGTCTCTGTTTCATCATACTGAGAAAAAATGTAATAAATGTTAGAAGAAGTTCCTCCTCAACTTTGATGTTCTTCATCTCCCAGGTTATAAAATCCCAGTGCTGGAAAACCTCGGAGCGACTCTGGACCAGTTTGACACCATCGACTTCTCTGATAATGAAGTCCGAAAACTGGACGGCTTCCCTCTGCTCAAAAGACTGAAAACGTTACTAATGAACAACAACAGGATTTGGTAAGTTCCGCTGCAACATCCTCTGATGTCATGAATGGAAATATAGTGATACTCAAATTAACCAAGAAGCAGTTCAGAGCTCTTACAGTTCAGATTTTGGGATTATATTTCATAGTTAAGTTGTTTATTTAATTATGCTCCAATAAGGTGGGTTCAATATCGTACTTGCTATTCAGTAAATTTACTCCCATTAGGAGCACATTAAATATTGTTTAGTATACCTGGCCACTCAGTACACGGCTGCATGCTTGTAACTTTATAAAATCTTTCTCCAGTCGTATAGGTGAGAATCTGGAGCACTCCCTGCCGGGTCTGACAGAACTGGTTCTCACAAACAACAACATTCAGGAGCTGGTGAGTACGTTTCAGCAGCAGAACAAATTTGACTGATTTACATCGAAATACCAGAAAAATATAAGTTCCTCCACAGTCTGACAACAACAACAAATCCTCCAAACATCTTATCCCTTTTAAGTTTTTTTGTTGTTGTTGTTGTTTGTTATTTGTTTTGTCCATGCTGCTGGATTAAATATTATTAACATCTTAACAGCACATCAAACTAGCCATTTGGCTTTGTGACTTTGTGACCTGCCCACCAGAAGCCTTGATATTTATGCGACTTTACAGATGAATTATAAAAACCATCAGTCAGCTCAGCGGATGCAAGTGGATAGTAATTTGTGTTGGTGGTAAATCTTTACAAACTTGGTTGCTAAAAAGGGGTACGAGTTCCCCCAGCTGGCAGCCAACTGTATATCTGGTAGATAAATCAGAGTTGTGACTTAGCAAGCATGCAATGAATGCTGTTATGCCACCGCAAACTGGCGCCCTGGTGTTGGTGTGGATGGGGAGGGGGCTTTTAAATCGCATGTTGGGCTTAGCGGTTGATAATGGGCAGCCATAGAGTGTGCCAGTAAACCCGGAACTCCGTTATCGCTTTTAGCACTTCCGGTTCTCTCATTTAAAGTCAATACGTTTTTTGAATGGGATTTTGGTAAAATGCCTCAAATAAGGTCTGTGGTTAACAAAAGCTTAAGCAAGTTTCAGGTTTTGTTCTACGGCATAAAACACGTCAGTAAATACCCTACTTGTGAATTTTGAAGCTTTTACGTGTCGTAAAAAACAAGTTGCTCAGTACGACTACAAACCCTGTCGGGGACATTAAACGTCATCACCCCCGAACAGGCGAGAGTGCTGGCAGTCCGCCATTACAGCTTATTATTTAGCTTAAACAGTCCGATATCCCCATTATACAATGTTTTTAAAATAAAGCGGCCGAAATGAGTTGAAAGCTTAGTGGCGGTGACGTCAAGAGTAATGAGACCGAGGAGTAGTCATGTAGTCCGTTAAAGCCTAACGTTAGCTTTTTACTTCTGGAGATCGCATTTAAGCTTCAAATGCGGCATGAAAGGTGTTCATATGTGAAAATTATCGCGCTGAACAAAAACTGTAAGAATCATAAACTTGTGTTAGCCACAGAGCTTATTTTCTGACATAATCAAAAACGCAATGCAAAAATCACATTCACTTTCTCTTCCGGGAACCAGCGCGATGCTAAACTTCGGGTTTTGACGTCAGCCCTGGCACACTCTATTGGCAATGGACGATGGCACTGACCCAACCCTAAACTGGATGTCCAGACTTCCACACCTACTGTCCCCTTCTACTGCAAACTAACTGCGGCAGTAGCTCAGTCCATAGGGACTTGGGTTGGGAACCGGAGGGTTGCCTGTTTGAGTCCCCGTCCGGACCAAATATGGAGTGTGGACTGGTGGCTGGAGAGGTGGCAGTTCACCTCCTGGGCACTGCCGAGGTGACCTTGAGCAAGGCACCAAACCTCCCAACCGCTCGGGGCGCCTCATCAAGGGCAGCCCCCTCACTCTGACATCTCTCCACTTTGTGCATGTATAGGTCCTGTTTGTGCATGTGTGTGTTCGGACCTGTGTGTTATTGACAAGCAAGAGTGAAAACATTGAATTTCCCCTCGGGGATTAATAAAGTATATAAAATTAAATAAAAAATAAAATTACACTGATACTCTCAGGTAACTGCGGATAGCTACTAGGGATGGGCATCAATTTTCGATTATCAATGATTGACTGTTAAGGATTTTGATCGATCACAAACAATTTTGCTCGATAGTCGCAGTGTTTCCCCTACAATGCTACAGGCCCAGCGAGCCGACGTGCCTACGAGACCCCCCCCCCCCCCCCCCCCCCCCCCCCCCCCCGGATCTATGCCAGGCAAAAAATCATGAACAGACGGAGGCTCTCATCGCTCTCCAAAACCTCGGCGGCTTCCCTTGAGGCCTCTGAAAACACTACACCAGTGTGCCCTGGCTGGCAACGGTTGTAAACACCCAGGAGTGAACTGCGCATGCGTGCCATTCTTCCTCTTTGGCCTGGGTGTTTGAAGCTCAAAACTGGGGCAGCTGCGCTCTCTTGCGGCGACAGTCTTTTTTGTTTTCTCTCTTTTGAAATACTCACTTATCAATTAATAGATAATTGATCGTTAATTTCTTTGATGATCGAATAATGAATTTTGATCGTTTGCCCATCCCTAATGGCTACCAATAGCTACCGGGACAAACAAAGCGCTATCCTCCTCCTGTTTTGGTTGCATGATGGTTGATGCACTTTCTTTGTGCCATAAGTCGAGCCTGGGTCTTGAAGAGTTGTAGCATTTATTCACTGACAAATGGCCTGAACTGTACACACACACTGCACTGCTACATTAACTTCTTGCTCCGACTTTCACTGTCACACGTCATCATCGCTCACGCACACTTTCTCTTTATTTTCGACCACACACTGGCTATGCACACAGTCTGGCGCTGTGATATGGTCCAGTAGGTACTGGTTGTGTAGGAGCCAAGGCCATATTGATGCTGGGTTTCAGTACCCTAATCATCAAACACTTTTACTGTAGTTTTCTAAATCATTATTGTTTAATGTGCAGGGTGACTTGGACCCTCTGGCCTCAGTGAAGACGTTGAACCTTCTCAGGTATGGATCATGAGCACTCTGTGATATAATTTGTTTACAGCTGAATGAAGATCACACATGTTTGTAATAATCACTGAATTTCCAGCTTGTTAAGGAATCCAGTGACAAACAAGAAGCATTACAGGCTCTACGTCATCAACAAAATCCCACAGATCCGTGTGCTTGACTTCCAGAAGGTAAAGCTCAAGGTAAGAACAACGGAGCAGGTATATTTTTTAACAGCCATTTAAAATGTGAGATACGGGACTGTACATATTTCAAGGCCTGGCATGAGCTGTGAGTTATGGATCACATGTATTGGAAGCTAAAACACCAGGGCATTTCCCTTTAAGCATCACAGTGGTTATTAATGATGTGCTAAAGTCTTCTAACCTGGAGATATCGTCCCATTGAACATCTAAAGAAGCTCTGGTGTTATGTACATTTTCCTGCCTGGCCTTGCTCCCCCTCTTGGATGAAAGCTTCAGTCTGTACTTAATGAGGCTTTTCACTTTAACTGTGTGATATCGTCATAGGAACGCCAGGAGGCAGAGAAAATGTTCAAAGGCAAACGAGGTGCTCAACTTGCAAAGGATATTGCCAGGCGAACGAAAACGTAAGATGAAAGTCCACGTTAGACAGCAGCTCCTCAGAATCACTGGATCCTGGCTGATAGAACGGGTTCAATCATGAAAACAAAAAAAAACACACGCTGTCACCATCGGTCATTTACAGTTCATCTGTTTGAATGATTTAAGAGTATTTTGCAACACAAAAAACCCTTTAAAATTCTGGGATCTGCACCAAAAACTGATCCCTTGTTCCTCGTCCCCACAGTTAAAACACACCTTGTTTGGTAAAGGTCATGACCTCTGAATGGGCCGTAACTCTGCCGTTAAAAGCCAAAGTCAGAGACGTTCACCACAGTGTTGCTCAGGACTGCTGTCTAAGGACGATGTATCAGAATACTTGACTCAAGAAAAGATACTATACATGAGATTACTACATTGGTTGAGAGGTCAGAGAAGCCCGTGTGTGTCCGTGTCGTCTAACTGAGGTGTGTTCTTTCAGGTTCACTCCGGGAGCGGCGGCACAGCTTGAGAAGAAGAGGACGGGGCCATCTCAGGCTGACGTGGAAGCCATCAAGGTTCGTTTGTTGACTTGAAAAATGTTGGCGCTGTGTTTTGGGGTCGTTATGTTTTGACAGCTGAGCTTGAATTCCCATCCCTCTTTTATTCAGGCAGGTGAGCCGGTGTTGCTACACCTGCATGAGCAGCCTGTGCTGACAGCATCATGGCGCTAAATCCAACTTGTATTGCATAGATAGAGTCGATGTCTAGTCGTGGTTGAAGACGAAGTTGGTGAGGGGGGATCAGTCCCTTTTTTCAGCCTGTAAATGCTGGGAAGCGCCGTTTTTAAACTCACATAAGAGACACTATTACATTTTTTACTGAATACTATGGATGTTTCGAGACCGTTGTTTTACAGTCTGCTGTAACATTTTCACGCAGGGATACAGGTCCTTGGAGTCTCACAACTTTTTTATAGTTAGATAGCCGTTTCAGGGCTGATTCTCTTTAAACAAAAAGGATTTTACTCTTAAATTAAAATGTCTTTCTTTGTAGGGATCCTTTCAATGAGTGCGTTTACATGGACAGTTTAATTTCATTTTCATTCGGAGTGAAAGTTCATTCCTATTGAAAGTGATCTTGTAAACACCTAATTCAGAATGAAAATGGCCAGTGCGATTGAAAAGGGCCTGGAATATTCCGTTTCTAATTCCGAATGAAAGAATTTCTCGCACTTGTATACACTCATTCCTCTTTAAGTTAATTCTGGTCTTTCTGCACATGCTCGTTTCCTTGCCCTTCTGGCGCCATGACGTATATAGCGCGCATAGCAACAGGCCGAGATAGAGCAGTCGGACTCGTTGCACTCAACGGTTTTGCCAAAGCACAGTCTTCTGTCTCCCTTCTTCGACCTTCTACCTCCCTTCTTCGACCTTCTACCTCTCTTCTCCTCCTCAACAGATGAAGCATTAGCAGAACAAGGTTGTTGTCGTACTGCTGCTTCAAGAATATAAGCAAAACAAGCCTGAAAAAGGCACTAAGAACGGCGTCGTCAAGCATCTTGTTATCCGGAGCGAGGACTACAGTGTTTTCTTCTGGTAAACGTAAACACGTAACATCCGCCCCGCCCCCTATCCAATCAGAAACCTTCCCTGCCCCAAACCTTGCGCAGACCCGAATAAAGGCGATTGAACTGATCTCCCGTGTAAACCCTCATTCAGAATGAATATTTCCCATGTAAACTACCTGGAAAGACTTTAATTCCGAATGATTTCATTCAGATTTATTTCATTCAGAATGAGAAGCCATCATGTAACCGCAGCCAATCATGTTGTCAGATACTTAAAATCACAGTCTGAGCTTGTCAGTGGCAAAAACAAGAACTTGTAGTGAGCATAAATTGTCCACTGTTTCTAATAGGGTCCAGGTTGGAAACAAACTATTAACTCTTGATTTTTTTAGTTTATTTGATGTGCAGAAAGCATCGTAACAAATGCTGTGTTGCCCCCTCAGTGGGGTGGGATGTGACATAATGTGGGCGTTTCTGCAAACTCTGACTGTATCTATTAGTAATAAGTAATGTGACAACATGATTGACATAATGGCCTGCTATGTTTGCAGTGACAAAGCCACTTCATACTATATTCCGCTTGGGAGTGGCTGCTGAGTTAAGTGCAACACCTAGTGGTAAAATCTGGTACTCCAGTCCAGTGTTTGGCTTAATATCAAACTGGTTTGAAAGTTTTACACTGGTCCAACTCAAATGTTGAGACTGCCAAAGAGGTGCCACTTTATTTCATATTTTATGCTCAGAACATGTTGGTCACAATGTTGAAGCATGTTCCAGTCGATACGATATATGCAGCAAAGGGCCACAGGCTGGAGTCGAACCCGGGCCGCTGCGGCAACAACCTTGTGCATAGGGCGCCTGCTCTATCCACTAAGCCACCGACACCCCAATATATTATCACATTTATGAATTAATGGTTATACAACAAGACAGAGATGAAGCACCACTGATGGATTAAAATAACCAAGATGGAGATTTAGATCTTGTTCAATCTAAACTGATCCCCGAAAATATTTTCACTAACAGGTCGGACCATATTAACTGAGATTTACATGTTTGCATTTCAGAATGCCATCGCTAACGCCTCATCGCTGGCAGAGGTGGAGCGGTTGAAAGGAATGCTACAGGCTGGTCAGATCCCAGGACGAGAGCTGAGACAAGGTCAGTGCTCACCAAATACTAATGCACAACTTCCCTGATACTGTACAACCTGGTGGACATTTCTAAGTTTTCAGTTATCCTTTTGGATTTGGTTAAACACATTTGGACAGAATTACTTTCATTGTTATTCAGAGATAACAAATCTGTCAGCAGGGGCAGTAATACTTCCAGCCATTAACAATAGTAGTCCCTGAATAGTCGTTGCTATCCAGAGCCGGATGTGTCTTCTTCCTCTGTGCCGTAGAGCTCCATTGTTAAACTCATCAATGAGCTGCTCTAGTGCACCGGTGACATGTTTCTTCATCACCATGAACACAAACTGTAATTTATTTTAGCTCAGTCCCACAAACACCTGCTGCACCATGTGTGGATTAATCCACAGCTGAAAATAGTCCCCACAAATGTACTACTTCCTCCAATTTGAAACAGCTGTAACAATGAAATCATGTATTTGTGGTGGTTTTAAAGACTTGAATCTTCAGTAGGAACCAATGGGCTTTGAGCTGAGACAGAGTTGGAACGTGTTGTAACACAGACTAAGAAAAATCCAGGATAAGAGCAGCACTTCCCTTTTAAATTAATCTGAATTTGAGTTTTTCTTTTCTTTAATAACCTCGATGTATTCTGAGGATTCACTGATGGATGAATGTTTATTTGTAAAATCAGGTGCAGCTGGGATGGTGGAGGAAGAGGAGGAAGAGGAGGAGGGTGAGGCTGCACAGATGCCGATGGGGTCACATATGGGTGGAGCTTCTGGAGAGGAAATGATTGAGGGTGAACAAGAGGAGGACGAAGAAGACATGGAGGAAGAGCCTCCTGTGAATGGCTCCTGAGAACCTGGATGATTTTTTGTTTTTTTTTATTTCTGTGTTGTAATTTCTTGCGTTGGATGTCCGTCTAGCAGGGCTTTTTTATTTTGTAAAATGACATTCATTAAACTGAATTCTTATACTGCCGTGTGTGAGGCCAGTTTCTTTAAGCAGTCAGCTGACGGTCTGAGCTGAATGTGGAGCAGCTATAGAGTCTGTTAATGTCCTGTAACTTGAAATGTTAAAAATCCAAGTTTCAGAATTTTCATAAAAATAAATTCTGGTTGGTCAAATTGAGATCCAGAAATTCAAGTCAAAAAATTTCAAATGGTAACATCCGTCCTACCCAGACAGGAAATGCTATCAAGTCTGACTGCAGTCAAACTGACCCCTTGTCTATCAGCTCATGGTCTGTCAGTCATATGATCCAAGAACACCGCTCGGAAATTTAAATCCAAAAATGACTACTGGGGAGAACGACAGGGCTCCAGTGAGTCGTCCAGTTTGTGCTGTGCCTGATGTGTTATTTGAAATACTCGACTAGAATTTTTTAGATCTGAAATTTGAGCAATTCTGTCTATTTTTTTTATTTAATTGCGACTCTTTAATTTTTAATATACTAATTTGTTAACATTGAAAAAAAAATCAACTTTTGAAATTCATAATCAAGAAATTTTGTGTTTAACTTTCATAGAGGTGAATCGGGAACAAATGAGTCTACATACACGGTTTTCAAAATAAAATATTTAAATGCTGTGAGAGTGGTGTTGAAATATCAGTTAAGTTTTCAGTTGCTGTTAAAAATGAGATATTTCAGTCTCTGCTTCTGTGCATGTCTTTAAAATGTGTTCACCCTCTTTTTTTTTTTACTATTATGAACAGAAAACGATAATTTTATGTCAAACTGAAAAACATCTACACATTTATTTTTTAAATAAATAAACATTGTTTGCACAGTATTCACTTCTTCAGATGAGTGATTTGTAGGTGCACCTGCAGCAGTTACAGCCTTGAATATGAGTTGATGTGTGTCGATCAGCTTTGTTCTTTTGGACAGTTGAGTTTGTCCCTGTTTGTCAGGATAGGACTTGTAGAGCTGCAGCGTCTCTTTGCAGAGCTTGTTTTGTTAACCGGTCTGTTCCATTCTCATCCATCAGGGAGTGTTGGTTCTGTTCATGTGGGTTCCTGTGTAGTGACAGTAGGGATGAAGGGAAAAGAGGAGGTGGACCAGTGAGCAGAACAAACTCTACAAAGATCTATAAGTCTTGTTAAGCAAATCAGAAGTCCATAGTTTGGGATAAAGCAGTGAAAGAGAGGCAAGATGAGTGAAACTGAAATATGGGAGAGGTTTCTGTGTAATTTAAATCAAGTCAATTCAACATTTTGAAAGGGGCAGGTCGAGGAAACAGTTGATTTTGACAGGATAAATCTTGGATATTCCAATTTCAATAGCACAACTGAGATAATAGAAAAGCATCCAACTGGCTCATGTGACAACTGTCCAGAGCAGTGGTGGGATGTCAGTGTATTCACATAAGTACTACAGTGGAATAGAATAAATCTTTATCGTCCGCCATGGGGAGAAACTTGTCTTGGGCTCACCAAACCCAAAAGACAACATTGTAAAAAGCAGACAAAGAGTACGACAGGCATTTAACGTCATTACACTTAGACATTAGATCAGATCACAGTGTGTCTGTGGTTCATCAGTCACTTTGTTGAGTTAGGGATACTGATGACACTCAGGATCAAGGATATTTTAAATACATTTTTATATGCCAGAGGGACTCTATAGCGCCTTCCAGAGCTCGAGAGCTCAAACTGGCTGAAGAGAGGATGGGAGCTTTCTGCCATGATGCTCCTCGCTTTCTTCCTCATCCTCTTTGTAAAATGTTGGGTCAAAGGCTTTTGTGGCTTGGCAATATATTTTCTCTACTAATATTATTCAAAGACTTAAGTTACTATGTGTTACATAGTAAGATTTTTACACACAAAACATTAAAAAAATGTACAAGTGCAGCTGAAACAATTAGTCGATTGACGGAAATTAGTTGGCAGCTATTTTGAAAAATAATTTGTCTTTTATTCAAAAACATTTTGTGATTCTAACTTCTTAATTATGACAATTTGCTTTTTCTTTATATATATATATATATATTTTTATTTTATGGGAGTGGCTGGATGGGGGCGGGTGACTGTTTTAATTTTTAAATTTATTTTTGTTTTATTATTTTCATTTAAAAAATAAAAATGATTTTTTTTTAACCCTTCTCAAAGCTACAAACACTTGTCCTTGAGCATCTTTGAGTGACGTGGAAAATGCACGACTCTCCCTCCACCATAAATTAGTTATTAGAATTTTAAAACTAAACCTTCAATATTTGAAATTAAAAGTTGAAGAGGAAATCCTGGAGCTGACAAAAGCCTTGATCTTTTACTCTTGTGTGTGCTGGTTAGTTTGTGCAATGGGGTTATTTTCTGGCCAAATTTTAAAGGAGACATAAAGAGGTTTTATTTATTTATTTTTGTTGGTTGCACGATGTGTCTAAGGACTGTCAGAAATTTGTAAATCCAACAGTTATTTCTGTTTTTACAGTTTCAGACTGTGATAAATGTTGTGATCTTGCAAATTTTTTAAAAGATTGGTAGTAAAATAAATACAACTTACAACCATTTAAATTTATATGCCCCTCCCCTGAGCCGAAATAAAAAATCTAAGTCCCTCCCCAGTGCTTAAAAAAAACTTGACATGCCTCCCCTCACAAGTAAGGAACAGTCCCTAATTTATTTTCTGCTTTACATGCTTTTGCTTTTAATACTTTAAATGCATTTTGCTGGCTGTACGTAGGCTGACAGAATTTTACTGAGGTTACATTTTAATTCAGAACTTTTATTTCTAACAGTGCGTTTACAGTGACATATTAGTGCTTTTACTACAGCATCAGAATACTTCATCCATCACTGGTTAAGAAGAAGATCTCAAGATGGCTGGAATTCATACTCTGATAATAAAACTTAAACATATCCATTAGAGCAAAAAGTGGATTTTATTTTATTTATTTTATTTCATCAGAGAAACAGGATTATCTGACAGGATGTAATCTGTGATTCACACTCCGACGCAGAAGGTGGCGGTAAAGTGCCTATTGTGCTGGTTCCTGTTTTCCTACCGCCATTATAGCAAGAGAAGAAGAATACAGCCAGTGTGAGCAAAGATGGCTGACAGGAGAAGGAGTCTTCAGCGCAGCTAACTTAAGAGCCGTTAACTGTTCTTCATTTCGTGTCCTGAGCAGACAGCGTTGATTTTATTGAGACATGGACGATGTGGAGATCACAGACGTGGACGACGACTCTCCTTTCCGGGTGGAGAAGCCCATCAGGAACCCGGACCTGACTTCTGTGAGCCTGACCGGTGAGACAGTGACACGTCACAACAACAACAACTTAGTCATGTCGGATCATTTCTGATTAAACTAAAGAAACCAGAGTGTTTAGTCACGACACACGTTAGCATGCTAATAGTTAGCATTGTTTTTTATTCATTCAGCTGCTAACGTTAGCTAAATGAGAGTAACGTTAGCTTGTCTTCCTGCTTCCGGTTTCCAGTAATGTAACATGTAACGTTACTGTGAGAAACAGGATTGTATTTTCATAACAGGCGTGATAAAACTAAAAATATTGCATTCTTTGGATTAGTCCAGACTCTAGAGTTTAGTGTGTATCAATAGTTTGTCAAACGAAATATCTGACTTGCTAAATATGACCGCCATTATGGGTAAATATGATAAACAGTCATGTAAACAGAGGAGCCGGAAGTCCTTCTTGTTTCAGTTTAACACTTGTTCTTACCTCCGTGTTTCGTACTTTAACCAGTGTGTTCCTTCTTATGAACACGATCTGGGTTGGTACATTTTAAAGGGACAGTTCACCATGAATTCAAATATACATGTTTTTCCTTTTACCTGTATTGAATTTATCAGTCTGATAGTTTTGGTGATTATTAGGTGGCACTCGGCTTGTGGTGCTCAAAGTGTCACAAAACATTTGGGAACAACACCCAGTTTAAGATTTCTCATAGGTTACGTCCATGGCCTGGGAGCATTCAGTCCAATGGTGTAGTGGAGAGCATGTGTATTGATGAATGAATACATACATTGAAAAGTATTGTATTTCATGACATGTCTCCATTTGCTGGTGGGCCGTCATGATAAGAGTATGCATGTATGATATGATGTTAATTCCACTGTAAAAGAGACTTGATGATCACTAAAACTAGGTGGGGAAAAAAATGCAATCAACCATGACACCACTGGTTCAATTAATATTTGTGAACATGCGCTACTCTCTCTCAACGCCAGAAACCAGAGAAGGATGTCTCAAACTCCATAGGCAATGAATGGAAGACTGATTTTGTGGACCAACAGAATGTTTGTTGTCTTATTTTACACCAAAATGAGCTTTATTCTATTGTAGCGCTCTCAGCTCTGAAACAGAAACTCTACACACTCAGAATATTCCCCTGGGTGTTCTCAGTGTCATCTAGAGTAACGTCATTGTCTATGGAGCAGCTCCAGACTTTATATGACATCACAAGTTTGAGTTTTAGCAGTCTAGTTTTTGGATTTGGGAGAATTGTTCATATTTACTAATATTTTTTTGACTGTCGTAGGCCATAGGAATGACATGTATGAATTTTGAGAATGGGTGTAGCTCCTCTTTAAAAACTCAACAGCAATGTGTCTTTCCAGAAATCATAACCCAGTTACTCAAGATAATCCACACCCTTGCTGTGAGCAGTTTCAAGTATTTTCTTTCTACCGAACTACACCCGCTAACTGTATCACCACACAGGAGGAAGCAGTGTATAGATGAGAGGCTTTCGCTCATGACAGGGCAAGATTTATACAATACTTGTGTCAGTAAATATGCACTTCCTCCTGTGCGGTGATGTGGTTGCCGGGTGTAGTTTGGTAAAAATAAATTAGTTCCTACATGGAAACTGCTCACAACAAGGATTGTGGATTATCTTGAGTAACCGGGTCATGATTTCTGGAAAGAGACACTGATGTTGAGTTTTTCAAATGTATTTCTTGGCGCTTTGAGCACCACAAGCTGAGTGTCATCTAGTTCCATTATGTCTCC